GTTATGGCTGATTGGTGTATATAGGTATAATGATTCTTAAGTCAAACAAGGGTCTTGGGAACAAATGCAGACTGTACAAGTGGTACTAGTCCTCCTAAGTAGCTAGAACCAGCACTGTGTAAGCCCCTTACTTTTTATGTCACTTCAAACATGTTTTTAGGTTTAAAATATAATATAATATATACATTGTTTGACTACACGCAATACACCTTGCATTTATCAACACCTCCTGTTCTGCATTGAGTTTCTTTCCCTATTTGACTGTTATTAGGGCTGTTTTATTGTCTTTTTACCATGTTACCAACCAGTACATAGTACAGAGCCCCAAAACTGACCAAATGTACTAAAAGATTATTCACATCATCACATCATCAGTAAATGTGTAAAACATATTTTTCAACTCTATTTTCTTTTTACGTTGTTGTTGTTTTTGGGGAGGTCTTAGCAGACATTTAATCAGTTACATCAGTGGAACATTCCAGAGCACTGAGAACAGCGGTGGCTAGACATACTGAGCAGCAGCATTTTCAGATAGCCACCTAGCAACAGCTTCATCATAAAACTACAGCAACTAGTGTAATCACGTCAAACAGATACCAGTGGACTGGGTCCTCTGCTGGTGAAGACAGTAAACTTCCATTAACAGAAAGTAAGAAAAAAAGCTTCTTTATTTGACCAATGAAATAAACTGAATAATAATGAGCCCTATTCAAATTGGATGAAAATGTAGTGTGTTCTGAACATCACTGTGCCGAACACTTAAATAGTATCCTCCTTTGCTGTGTTTCCAGACATGCTCCCTCTATCAGCCTCTCACTCTGATAAGAAACTGAGGCTCAATTCAATTAGATCGCTGACCTTTCTTACCTCTGGGGCCAGATTGGCAGTAATTGGATTACTCTGCGCGATACGAGCTACAGTAGCTATATCTCTCTTTCTCTATTCTTTCCCACTCCCTTTTCCCCACTTCTAGATAAAAAGCCCATACTACTTCTATTAGACCTCTCTCCACTTTTCTCTCCATAGCTCCTAACCCCGACTCATTGTTTTCCTCTCCCTTTGCTTTTCTGTGTCACCTTGCACCGTGTCCATCCACTGAAGATATTATTTCTAATCTGTACATCCTGTTGTTGCTGTGTGCAGTTGCCGTGGTTGTGTTCTAAGCCGATGGGGTTGTAACTGGTGTGTTCACCAGCACTTGTGCACCCACAAGCCCACCTGTGAGGAGGGGGTGATCATCTACAACCAGCATGTAAGTCATTCAAACAGAAGATGTCTAATTGTACCATACCCACTGAGGTGTCAAATACAAAGATTTACATACTTGAACTGTACTCGGTCACCACTCAGGGACCATGTTATATATTTGTGGAGACTTGTGCTCTTCAGGTATTTAAGTTATTTTGGAAAAGTGTCTATTGTAAGTTGATCAAGTTGTAAATTGAACTGACTGGAAAGTTGAGGTTTTGTAGTAACAGTAGGGCTGTGTATTTGAAAAAATTGGGTGATACAGTATGTATCACGATGCAGGGCTTACAATTCAATATGTTGTGATATATTGTGATTTAATAAAAAATAAAAAAAATATCGAAAATTAGGGATAGTATAAGGAACACACAACCATATGCATAATTAAAAAAGTTAACCTTTTTTATGCAACTGGAAAACTGGGATCTGCATTTGTGATTGTCAAACATCCAACATCACAGCCCCAAGTTTACGCTGACAGCACTGCTATTTAGCGGTTGGGGGTATAAAAACAAAAGTCAATAGTGTTTTTGAGAATTGATACAATATCATAAAACAAAATATTGCAATATATGTTTAGATATTTTCTTACACCCATAGTAAACAGTAAGTTATGTTTTTGTATATTCCACGACTGCAATGGACGAGGCAATCATGGATCATAATGGATTATGAGCTTTGCGGATTGGATTTGGATTTACAGAATGGATTCTCTATTCCTCTTCCTACTTTTAGATGATTTGGACATCCAGATTAACACAAATAAGAAATTAAATTACATTTGTGGTTCTCGCTGAAAAGCCTTTTTTTTTTCTTGGTTACACTACCAACACTCCTTAGCTAAGGCTCTCTCATGCTCTCTTCACATAGAGTTCAACAATTGAGAACAAAGACCTGCGTCATAGGTATTCAGCTATACAGCCTGGTTTCACTAGGCACTTGTCAGCCAATCAGGTTTGCAAATCTTCAGTGGACACTGTTTCTTACCAAATTGTATATAGTGCATTCTGGAAACCTAAAAGCAGATTAATTAATTTCCTTCCTCATAATATGTTTAAAAAAACATTTTCTGACACTTTTGAAACCTACGTTGAAACTACTACATCATGCTTGCCAGAGAGCAGATGTCCTCGTCCCTAACTTTTTCTCCCCTTCGTTGAACAGCTGTACAGCACAGTTAAACTCTCGAATAAAACAGGTATCAAACAAAGACATGATTCACTTACTGGTTCCGTTATGGTATTTCCTCAAACTAAAAGCAATTGAATGTGTTGGTATGTGTCCAAAATCATAAGTACTTGACAGGAGTATTTTTGATTTATAAGAACCTGGTAAGTAGATAATTGGTCAAAGTTGTCCTGTTTAGACCTACATCCATCAGTGCCCATGCCTCATATGCCAGAACAAGCCGACATTATTTGTAACAGAAATCATGCATGTGTCATAAACAATAACAGCAGGTTACCTGTGTACCATCATTTAAGTTCAGTTATTGCCTACTTTCATTTTCCTTTGTCCATTAGTTTTTATTTCTGTCTCACCCTCTCCTCATGTCTTCCCGTCCTGCTCCCTCCCCCAGTTTAAACTCCCCACCTCAGCTCCTCCCACAACCAAACCTATTAAAGTCATCACAACACCCACTACCACAACGGCTGCCCTGACAACCACCACCACCACAACAACAACAACAACAACAACAACAACAACCACCATGACTACAACAACAGCGGTCCCAGTCACTGTAGCAACCACTCAGGAGCCAACCACTCCTCCTGCACCCACTACTCCACCCACCACCACCACCAGCCCTGAGCCAACCACCCCGCCCACCACCCTGCCCCCTCAGCCTGCCAGCACCTTGCCATCCACCACGCCAGCACCCACTACACCTCTACTCCCTGAGGTCACCACCAGGGAGGAGGTAGAGACTGAAGCAGCAGAGCTTCTTGTTGACACCGAGGGTGTCGCCACTACACCTAGTGTCAGCATGGAAGCCATTGATTTGGTGCCTGTCACCATGGCTGATGGTCTAAGTGGAGATCTGGACCCTGTGATGCCTTTGAGCATCCCACCCCATGACCCAGACATCTTCCCGTTGGAGGTGGTGACGGAGTCGCCCCCCAGCGATGCTCAGGAAGTTGAGGGAGCTTTAAGCCTGGCAGAGCCTCCCACCCCGGCCTCGTCTGGCTTCCCCCTGCCCACGCCCTTCCCTGTGGGCGAACCAGGAGACTCTGAGCCCTCCCTCTACCTTGACCTTACCCAGGCTCCCACTCCAGTGCCAACACAAGACTCCCAGACTGAGGCAGCGAGCCCAGGGACAGACCCTGAGGTGCCCCTCTGGCCAGAAGAAGAAATAGATGTCCCAGCTGAGAGTGCCGTCCAGCCAGAAAATGACACAGCCACATTTTCAGCTGCCACTGTGTTGTCAGGTGACGGTGAGGTTGACCACGCCCCCCCATCATACCCCCACCTGCTGGATACTGACTCAGAGCTGGACTACCAGTATGATCCAGCCGACGCCTTTCTCCCGGTGAGTTCAGCCGCCTCCCTCCTCCTTCTTCTTCTTCTTCTTCTTCATCATCTACTTCTTCTTCTCGAAGCTTCAGCAGCCACCCAGTCCTCCCAGCTCCTGACTGGACTCTATACTCCTCCTGGAGGAACAAACAGGTTTCCCTGTCTGCCCTTATTTCCCTGATCTTCCTTTATCGTCTGACACCTGTGTTCTTTTTGTTGTTTTGCTTTTGCTTTTTAGATTGATCCCAAGTAAAACAACTGTTCCAGTGCGAGCTGTAGCAGTTTTTTTTTTGTTTAAATGTTTCATGTTTCTGCATTTTTCACATTTACAACTCAGTATTACCTTGAAATATTCATTTAGAATGTTAGTTTTTCTTTGAGGATACTGTGTGTGTTTTTGTAGGAATTCAGTATTTTTCACACTGGGTCACACACTTATTTGTGCATCTGGAAAAGAAAAATTAGTTGAGCAAGCCTCGGTCAGAACCTCACTCACTCTTTCCTGTACTGAGATGTGCTATGTGCTATGTGCTAGGCTCTCTATGTTGAAAAGACAACCACATTTTGAAGATGGGTAAAAGATAAAAGCAACATATAGTCAAATCTTAAGTTGCTACATCTGCAAAAATGCTCAGTAAACTACATCAAGAAACAATATCCAGCGTTTTTATTTTCAAGCTAGGTTTTCATGAAATGTGCAATTGTTTTAGGCTTTGCTAGTTACGGACTACAATAGATAAGCTAAATGTACATCTGAATTAATTCGCCTAGCTATTTACATCTAATCACTGGTTAGCAGTATTTCCCCGTCCAGCACGTGCTCATTTAAGGCAACTCAAAAAACAATCTCCAGCATTTCAGCTAGTCTAAATGTTTTAGCATTCAACCAATTTCCACTTTGACCCACCCCCAGTGGCTATTAATACAACAAACTAAACTGGGACACACCCGTCTGAGAAACAGCGATTGCTAATAACTTTTCTACCCAAGTATACACTTAATGCAAACAGTAGGGGGTTGTCACTCAATAGGCATCAGAGGGAAACATTGTGTGTGTGTGTGCTCGTGTGTGTGTAGTAGTGTCGTGTGTGTCTCTGTGTCCTGTGTCTGTGTAGTAAGGGGGAGAAGGACTTTTGGTGTTTAGTGACATCTGTACAATATGTTGTATTCGGGGAACACAGGGGAGAGGCTCCTACGTTCAGCTGCGGGTTCTTACAGCTGTCCCTGTGTGGAGAAGGTGCAAGGGTTCAATCACTGACTCCCTGTCAGAGTGGAGGGCACAGAATCCACCCCTACTGGCCCCACACCTGACACCTCTAATCAGGTTATAACACACAACCACCCCTCAAAGATCCGCACAACCACACTATCTTTCTCAGCTTCAACACACGTCTGTACGCATCTCTTCACCCAAAAAGTCTTTGTAGTGTTCAGGACACAGCGAGCCTGGCACTTGAATGTTGTGCTGGTTCATCACGAGGCAGCACGGTGGTAGATGGACGCCTAGTGGAGACTGTGACACCAATCCATCCAACTTTGACATCCCTGTCACTAACAACCAAGGTCTGATAGTAGTGTGTACAACTTTCATAACATACTGTAACCAATACAGATATATTAATCTCAATCTCAGTAAAAAGTCGCAGGAAGTAATCGTGCATACGACAATATGTACAACATATGTAAAAAAAAAAAATAATAAAAAAAAAAATAATAACATTACATATATATATATATATATATATATATATATATATATATATATACTAGCAGGATATTTACAGTATGAACAGCATTAACAGAATGAACGGAGTGAGGTGAATACACTAAGATATATACAGCTATTAAGTTAAGATATTTACAGTATGAGGTTGACATTATATACAGACAGCTAGATATGATTACACTATAGGTAGATAGAAATACACTATAGGGAGATATGAAAAACACAGAAAGAAAGACATATTTGATCTGCCTTTTCTCCAGTATAATGGAACCAGATGGCACTTGGCTTGTGGTGCTCAAAATTTGAAAAACTCTACAGCAATGTCTCTTTTCAGAAATCACAACCCATTTACTCAAGATAATCCACTGAGTGTTTTGATGTAAGAACTATTTTCTGTCTAGCAAAATACACCCGCCAACCATAGCTGAACGTTAGGGTGCTAAGTGAGCTGTGCCGTCACAAGCACAAGCTCGTCCATTAGGACGCAGGTGCACGCTTCCTTCAGCGCAGTGATACACAGAAAGAAAATTGTTCCTCTTTTAGTTGATGTTTCATATTGTGACTTTGTAAGAAAACATAGTGTGGCTTTTTTTTTATGAAAGCATTGTTGTTTGTCCAGTACACATATTCCGCTCCAGTGGAGGAATACAATGCCATGGTGTATGTGAAGAGGAGGGACACCTTCCATGTGGACAGCTCTACTGATCTATATGGTAAGGTTAAAGTGTGTCTCAACATACAGCTGAGAGTGATTTTGCAATTTTTTCCACTGACCCATCACCAACTTGACAACAACACTCAGTGTCAACACACATTAACGCTGACTGATGCTCTTGTCTGCCTGTCGTGCCCTCAGTCACTCTGTACAACTGCTCTGTGGGCCGCTCTGACTGCAGCCGCTGCCATACAGCTGACCAAAAGTATGGGTGTGTGTGGTGTGGTGGCGCTCACGCTAGCTGCTTGTATTCAGACTCCTGCAGTGAGCCCGTTCAGAAGACATGCCCCGCCCCCGTCATCCACTCTGTGAGTACTGACCTTTGACCTCTTCACTTTGGTAGTGTAGGAGACACATAATACATCATTTGAGATGCTTATAGTCACGATATATCTTCATATTTCAGATCAGAGCTCTTTCTTTACCATACATTCTTTTCAGAATTGAAACTGAAGTTATTTGGCACTAAATAACTTATCGTTAACAAAAAGAAATATCCAGAATGTTCCCTGTAAAATGAAGCATTTTTTGACTTCTCTCAGATTGAGCCACTCTCTGGTCTGTTGGAGGGCAGCACCACGGTGACCATCTCAGGCTCCAACCTGGGCCAGAAGGCTGAAGATATCCTGCACTCTGTGTCAGTAGCAGGGGTTCCCTGCACAGTCATCCCCAGCCTCTACGAGGTTTCCTCCAGGTACAGACAGCAAACTATTTGATTTCTACATATTATACTATGTAACCACACCCCTTATTTGATTCTCTCTGCTATATTGTTAAATTTGCTGGAAGGCAGGGAGCTAGCAGAATTTAGGGCTTTAGTTACACTTTAAGGACTTTACTTACTTTACAATGCATAACTTTTTTTTTTATCAAGAAGAACCATCCTAAGAGTAGTGTCTTTCTTCTAGGATTGTGTGCAGGACCAAAGCCAGTGGAGGAGAGAAGGTGGGCCATGTGTCTGTTGAAGTGAGCGGAGGAGAGTTTGGCCTGTCTAGCCAGACATTCAGCTACCAGGTACATTAGATCAGATTGAATTATAGTTGATAAGATATTGTTTACCTGTCTGTGAAAATTGTGAAAAAGAAAACAGCCTACTTCAACAATAGAACGCCAGAATTTTAGAGATTTTCAAATGTGTTTTCAGCTGGTTTGTAATCAGTGTTTGTGTCTATTATGTGTTTGTGAGGTTTATATAGTTCTAACCTCCTTCTTCTATCCTCTCCTCCCTCTCAGGACCCATTTGTGATGGGGGTGTCTCCTGAAAGGGGTCCCAAAGCCGGAGGAACGTCACTGACAATCACTGGCCGAAACCTGCTGACTGGACGTCCCTCTGACCTCACCATCACTGTGGGAGGGGTCCCCTGTAGCATGTAAGACTCTCTCTCACGCACACACACACACACACACACACAGGTTGATATTTTTTATTGGTTCACGGCCACTCTGTTGCTGATTCAAAGTTAGCTTTAATGCTGTCAGTCTGACCTTTGACCTACTTGGAGTGGGGGAGGGGGAGAAAAGAGAGTGTCACTCTGGGGTCAATGAAGTATGACATCATTTATTAATCAGTCTCTCCTATGTGCGTCCTCTTCGTGTCCTCAGTGTGTCGGAGGTGCAGAGGTCCAGTGTTCAGTGTGTGACGGGCAGCAGTAATAAGACAGGAGATCACCGGGTCACCCTGCATTACGGCAGCAGCCAGCGCCACCTCCATTCTGCAGCCTACCGCTACACCCACAACCCCAACATCACCCACGCCACGCCAGCAAAGAGCTTCCTGGAGTGAGTGAAGATCTGATCTTCATCTCGTCTTCTTCCCTAAAAAAAAAGTTGTTTGGTGCCAGAAATTAAAGTGCTTTGAAATTGAAGTTTCTCTGTCTGTGTGTAGTGGTGGTCGGCTGATCTTTGTGTCAGGACACAACCTGGACGTGGTTCAGGAGCCCCGGATGGTGGTGACCGTCTCTCCCTTTGAGTCAAACGGCCAGATTAAAAGGAAGAAGCGAAGGAGGAGGAGGAGGAGTGGAGAGCAGGGGGAGGACAGGGAGAAGACTTTGGGAAGGCCAGCAAGGATCGTTCCTGACGCTGTCTGCCCTGGAGACCCACTCTGCTCTGTCAAACAGGTGTGTGTGTTGTGTGTGGTTGTGTGTGAATGTGCGGTGTTGTGTGTGTGTGTGTGTGTGTGTTTGCTTGTTATTTTTAAAATAACTTAAAGTTCCTTCCTTTACTAAATGTCCTTTTGTTCACCCTCGTTGTCTCATCAGTTCATGGAGCGCTGTGAGATGAACTCCTCTTCCCTGATCCTGTGTCGCTCTCCCATGGTGGACTCCTCCATCTGGGGGTCAAAGGTCACCGTGGAGTTTTTGCTGGACAACCTGCGCTTTGACTTCAGCAATCTGAACCCCCAGGCCTTCAGCTACGAACCCAACCCTCTCCTGCGGCCCTTAAACCAACAGGACCCTCTGAAGGCCTACCGCTACAACCCCGGCAGCTTCATCCAGCTGGAGGTCAGAGATCTGAATGTAGCTCTGGATGTAGACCTTTTACTAAGTGAAGCAATCATGGCTCTTTCAGTGTTTTTGTGTCTAAGTGACTAATGGGAACAACAATTTGTTAAACTGGCCCAGTATTGAGCAAGAGGGCTGCAGTGGCAACTGTGAGTGTGTTTGAGTCCAAACTGTACCTCATAACATCGTAACAATTCATTCAAACTCGACATAAACAAAATAGAACTCACCAAAAACATTGTCTTTCCAATGTTCTAATGCTGCAGCGCACTAACCTAATACTGAACCGAATAAAATTCTTGTCATGTTGGACATGTCTACATTTACATATGATGCCACCCAAATGAAAAATCGATTAAGATTCATCCTCTGGTGATCATAAGTGTCATCATAAAACAAGACAAAAAGACCAGAGAAAGATTAACAAAAACTGCGAACCAGTCAAAAAACTGAAACCATACTATCTACTTTTAAATAAACGGTAAGATTAAAAACATACGTATATGTTTTTCACTTTTTTGTAGCACTTCAAGAACTGAAAGTGAAAGTAGATACAAAATAAACTAAAATCAACTCCATGTGTTCTCAGGGGGAAAACCTGGACCTGGCCATCACTAAGGACGAGGTGGTCGTGTTGGTCGGGGAGGGTGTGTGTGCTGTTAAGACCCTGACCAGAAACCATCTGTACTGCGAGCCGCCACCTCAGCAGCCCCCACCGGTACCCAATGGCAAGAAACGTGAGGGCTCCGACAATCTGCCTGAATTCACTGTGAGTCCACGGCGCTTTCACTTTAAAACCACAGGGACAAAATGTTTGTGTTTTTAGTATGTCGATAGATAATGCTGTAAGTAAGGAATGTGTGTTTGTGTCTGTGTTTCAGGTCCAAATGGGCAACCTGAACTTCTCCCTGGGTAAGGTTCAGTATGACAACCTCAGCCTGTCCACCTTCCCCCTAGAGGCTCAGATTGGAGTTGGGGTCGGGGCGTCCATAGTAGCACTCATCGTCCTCATCATCGTGCTCATTTACAGGTCAGTGGGTGGATTGTGTTTGTTTGTGTGTTTTGTGTGGGTGAGTGTGTAAGAAGAAAAATGTCACATAATCAGATCAATTTGTGAGTAAGTTAAAGGTACCCATGGAGTTTTCAAACACTACTATCAAGGGTAGGGGCCACGTTTTGGTACCAATTATTGAATTGTTAACTATTGAAGTAGTTGCCATCAAGTGCAGCCATTACAGACAACAGAAGCATCATTGCAGGTAGCCTACTGCTAGCTAGAAGCTACCTTAAACACAGTTAACATGCAGAAATGGTTTAAATTTGTGATAGACTGATTAATCAGTCTGATTATGTGTCATTTTAAGACAATCCATATTGGGCACATCTGTGCTCAGGAGGCCGAAACATTTTTTTTTTCTTCAGTCACGTCTGCAGTCAGCCTCCCCCTCGTTTTGGGAAGGTGGTGAAAAAGTTGGTTTCAAGCCCTGTAATAAAACTCTCATGCATCCTGCCTTAAACTTATGCCTACATTTTTTTATAGAATGGAACAGAATTATACATGACTTTCCTTTGTTTTGATATCAGCATTATATATTGGCAGCCCTGCTCTCTATGTATCAGCATCGGCCATTAAAAAAAACTATATTGGTGACTGTATTTCACTTGAAAGGATTCCAACACTGGATGGGACAAAAATCTGCAGCAAATGTGTAAAACAATTGCATGTAAAGGGGGGAAGCATCTGGCAACTTATGGGATACACTTGATGAAATTATAAAAATCCAGCAAAACTTTATATACAGCATGTGAGATAAGATTTAAATAAACTGTATTAGTAGATTCCCTTTGAGAAAAAGAAGCGAGTGGCCCTCTTGTGCACATTAATCAACTGAGGCTTCAAAAATAGGTTTTAAAATCAGTGACCTGTAAGAGAAGAGAAAACACTCATCTTCTTAATATTATTTTCCTGCTCACCACAGTTCTCCAGTAGTAACATGATCCCTATCCTACTCCAGATGCCAATAATGACACAAGTATGTCTCTTTGTGTAATGTTCATGTCATGACTGAATAAAGTCGTATGGAACATTTACGCAATGGACACTCATATCTGAGTGGGAAATGGGTGCATGCTGTGTTGTAAAAACAAGGGAAAGTCAGTTATTGTAGTTTGGCCTCTGATTTGGCCCGTTTATGAACACGATCAGCAGCTGGAGCTGCAGCAGAGGCTGTGACACACAACTCATGGAGATGATTAAGCTCTCACTCCTTCTCTGAGTAATATCTCAGTGAAACTCCCAGATATGATATACATATTGTTAGATTCAGTGTCAGTTGCACTTTCCAAGGATATCATTATGCCATGCCTATTGTGGAAAACGTCCTTAAATCTGCTTAAAAATCACTGAAAAGACACTCTTTATAACTCCAGAACTTGCCTGAGAATCATCAGGTTTTTAAGTTTTCTTCAGAGAAAAGTAATCCAGTGCTAGTTGTCTGTACATCTACGGGTACCCACCAAACCGGAACTGCTAATAGCTAATTCAGCATAGTTTAAATGGTGCCAATTTGCCAAAATGTGAACAATTATAGGCTAGAAAGAGTTATGGACGAGCCCCCAGTTTGTTCAGATTGGGGATCCTTGACATGATAAAGTTTGACCCCCTGCTTTAGAGAGCCAACATGATTAGACTGGGAAGAAAAAGACCTTCAAGTCTTTGAAAAGTGGCACATTGAGAACTATAGGATCAGGAGAGTTACACTGCCTGGCAGTGTTTCCATTTCCTGACCCAACGCGACCCCATGATTAACCCTGATCCTTACTTGTGGGGGTTTGTTGGGTCAAATTACGTGAGTCAACCTTCACTGTTTCATTGGATTTCCACTAATCCAGTGTGAAACTGGCATTACCTGTCCTCTCTCCTCTATCCCCACCTGACCCTCTCTTTGTGTCTTTGTGGTGTCTGTCAGGAGAAAGAGTAAGCAAGCTCTGAGAGACTACAAGAAGGTCCAGATCCAACTGGAGAATCTGGAAACCAGTGTGAGAGACCGCTGCAAGAAAGAATTCACAGGTAAAAGAGTGCGAAATGTTATATAATAAAGAAGAGAGCAGGAATGAGTGGAAAGAGGTCCGGAGAGGAGAGCCAGAGACGGAAGAAGAAAGTTTATTTTAGTTTGTGGAGGCCAACAGATCCACTTTGCTTTCACACTGGCCTTATAAAACGATCCATTAACATCACGCCTCCTGGATGAAATCTTCCTCACATCCCACATGGTGGTTGCAGAAGATTTAAAATTTAGTCTGCCAACTCTGTCCAGTGTCAATATTTACCAGCTCCCACCTCCCAACACACACTTTGAATATAGCATATGGTGGAAGCTGAAGAGCTTGTAGCAAGACCTCCTGACCTTTCACCCCTGCTCCTCTACCTCACTCAGACCTGATGACAGAGATGATGGACATGTCCAGCGACCTGGTGGGCTCTGGCATTCCTTTCCTGGACTATCGGATGTACGCCGAGCGCATCTTCTTCCCTGGCCACCGGGAGTCTCCGCTAAGGCGAGACCTGGACGTTCAGGAGTGTCGGCGGCAGACGGTGGAGCAGGGCCTGGTGCAGCTGTCCAACTTGCTCAACAGCAAACTCTTCCTCACCAAGGTACTCACCATCAGTGTTACAAGCAGAGGAGACGGTACATACATTTTTAGCAGCCAGATAATCTCTATCTCTTTTCTCCCACTCTCAGTTTATCCACACTCTGGAGAGCCAGCGGACTTTCTCCCCCAGAGACAGGGCCTATGTGGCCTCCCTGCTGACGGTGGCGCTACACGGCAAACTGGAGTATTTTACCGACATCCTCAAAACGCTGCTCAACGACCTGGTGGAGCAGTATGTGGCCAAGAACCCCAAACTGATGCTGCGACGGTGAGGAGGAGGAGGAGAGTGTGCTTACCGGTTCGAGGTGTTTTAAAGATGTTTGGCAGTGATTACAACTCTGTGTGTGTTTTCTCTGCAGAACAGAGACGGTGGTGGAGAAGCTGCTGACCAACTGGATGTCCATCTGTCTCTATGCTTTCCTCAGGGTTAGTCAAAACACAAGACATAACTTACATTTCTGCCACAACTATGCTATGAAATGTACATCCAGTCAGAAATGTTAGTTACCAAAAGTGACACTTAGTACGTAACGTTTTGCAGGATTTGATCTGTGTTTGTGAATAGAAGGTTGTCTGTATGTGGGGAAAGGTCAGTGAGTAAGGCACATAAGCTGTTTTTATCTACAGACGCTGCAGGTCACCTTCCATGGAG